TCTCATGCCGCCCACCGTGAGCAGCTTTGCGAGGTTGGGATCTGAAGGACTGGCTACGCCCTGTACTAGGTGGTGAAATGAGGCCTGCTTAGGTGGATTTGTAGCTGGTTGACTGACGGAACCCAAAGAGTGCTCACTAATGGTTAATTATCATCCTGGAAAAAGAGTGACAAGCAGGGCGCTGCAGGGTTCTGTCCTGGGTCCATTGTTGTTAAACATCTTTATAAATGACTTAGAGGGGTCAGCAATTTTTTTCAGCAGGGAGCCAGTCCACTGTCTCTCAGACCTTGTGGGGGGCCAGACTTTATTTTTTTTTTGGGGGGGGACGAACAAATTCCTGTGCCCCACAAATAGCCCAGAAATGCATTTTAAATAAAAGCACACATTCTACTCATGTAAAAACACCAGGCAGGCCCCACAAATAACCCAGAGATGCATTTTAAATAAACGGACACATTCTACTCATGTAAAAACACACTGATCCCTGGACCATCTGCAGGCTGGATTTAGAAGGCGATTGGGCCAGATCCGGTCCCCAGGCCTTAGTTTGCCTATCCATGGTAGATGAACATGAAAGTGCAGTGAAGATTAAAATGTGTGCATATGCCTAATGGAAGACAGAACCATGTTTGATGCCTTATTTCTGAGTGTGTATCCTTTTCCAACCTGTGTGCACAACTGATATTTAGTCTGTATTTAAATATCAGTTACTGGAGAATCTGCATAGGAGGGTGCAATTGTGCCCATAACATGCTGTGGGCTTCTTCTAATTATTTTTTATTAGCATAGCTTTATGGTACAGAACAATTCCCCGCCTTTGCCCCACAAAGGGGAAAGAAGTGTAAGTAAGCCCTTAAGTACAGTCATGATCTCCCAATGCCCTGAGAAAATGGGAGGGTGCAGGGGAGGGAGGTAAAGGGCCTTATTGGTACAAGAGTTGTTAATAAATGCCAACGTTGCCCTGAACTCTGCATTGTTGTGCTTAAAAATACCCCCTGTGACAGAAGTTAAACTACTCGACCTTTTTGAAGAGGTTGAGCGGAACTTGATGCAGTGTTTAATAATACGTACCTGTATGGCAGATTTCTGTGGCTATGGCGCTGGAGGAAATCAAACCTATCCATTCTTAAGGAAATCAGCCCTGAGTGCTTACTGGAAGGACAGATCCTGAAGCTGAGGCTCCAATACTTTGGCCACCTCATGAGAAGAGAAGACTCCCTGGAAAAGACCCTGATGTTGGGACGACAGAGGACAAGATGGTTGGACAGTGTTCTCGAAGCTACCAACATGAGTTTGACCAAACTGTGGGAGGCAGTGGAAGACAGGAGTGCCTGGCGTGCTCGGGTTCATGGGGTCACGAAGAGTTGGACACGACTAAATGACTAAACGACAAAAGTCCAACAACACTCTGTTGTCAAGGTGAACTTTTTTCCCTTTGGAGGACTGGGCCAACTGCGTCAGTGCCCTCCAACATTGTGATTTGGAATAAAAATAGGTTGCCAGCATCTTTGTAGGATGATGTTCAAAGAACCACCTCTCTCTCCACACCCACACACAGCCTCTCACATTGGTTGAGTATGAGAAAAAGGAAATAATTTTAAAATATTTGTAGGAACACGTAATTAAAAAAAAAAAGGTAGGAATGCAAGCTGAATTAATATTTATCTCCTGTGGCTGTAACGTAACTTGGAAAAAATACAGCCTCGTTCACAGGAAAAGGAAATGAAATGATTTCATTGCAGTTTCTGAAGATATTGATGTAATTATAAGACACAGTAATATTTTCCAGATGAAGAGCCAAATGAGTCTATGAAGTTGTTTCACAAAATGCTCAAAGCTTCTAAAATATCACGATGACATTTTTTTTTCGGTTCAAAAAGCGCACTGTGTATTTACAAAATGCAAAGCTTTTTCAGCAAGATAATGAGTGCTTGTTACTATAAGTTAAATTAAATAGTTCAAGTGTTACAACAATGCAATTATCTTGCTGCTCCAGACAGAGCTTAGCACAGCCTCTGAAAGGCTGGAACAATTATTTGAGACACTTCATGCAATATGCAATAATACAACCACTCCAGTTCATCCTCTACAAATAATTGCTGCATTATTTTCCTGGAGACTGCCTCCTGACTTAAGTGACCTGTTTCCTACGACTCTGGGATGGAAGTGCCTTATAGCACTTATTCAGTCTCTGTGTAATGTGAGGAATCCTGCCAGTTCTGGTCCAGCCTTTAGAGATCCACACCATATATTTTAAGCACATGGTTTCCCCCAAAGAATCCTGGGAACTATAGTTTGTTAAGGGTTCTGAGAATTATAGTTCCATAAAGGATTCATTGGGGGAAGTCATATGCCTATGGTCACACCCATGGCATACATTTAAAGCTCATGGCTTCCTTCAACGAAATAATGGCATTAACAGGAGTAAACTTAACAGCATTTACACCTAGCTCTAAATCTATGGCAGGTTTAGTTTTGTATAACACCCTTATAACTAGGTTCACAGAGTGGTTTGTGTAAACATTGAAAATGCATTGGAAAAGTCCAATCCATATAACTTACATAACAAACTCTAAAACCAGTTATGAAACAATGACACAATGGAGGTAAAACAAGCATTAACGTTAACAGCTAAAAACAATTTAAAACAAGTGGAAAATCGGAAAAGCTGAGTATAAGAATCTGAATGTACTAGACAGATTTATTGATAGCTTGCCTCACCATCATTGTCAGCAATAAGAGGCTTGGTGGCTTTCACTGGGTGTTTTGAAGACTTCCTGGCCTCCTCTTTGGAGCTGTTGTTTTCCTCTCAAGATACTCTTCTGGTTGTGTGTGCATGCCTACATATGCATGAATGTACGCATTGGTTTGCAGAGGTTCTTTGTCTTCCTCAGTATGTTCTAAAACAATCTTGGTAGTCGTATCCGCCATGTGGAACACTCCCGTCAATTGTCAAGGAAATGAACAACTGACTTATAGAAGACATCTGAAGGCAGCCCTGGATAGGGAAGTTTTTAATGTGTGATGTGTTACTGTGGTTTTATAATTTGTTGGAAGCTGCCAAGAGTGGTTGGGGAAACACAGTCAGATGGGTGGCATATAAATAATAATTTATTATCACCATCCAACAATGCAGTTTTGTTCTAAGCAAGATCAAGATTTTCAGTGTCTTCAATCCATAATTCCTTGCTGAATGTACATGGTAATGGAATAATTTAAGTTGTGAAGATGCTCTGATATGCACAAACAGAACCCACTGAAGCAAATTAAAACTACTAAGTGTCTTCTGGCACCTTTAATACAGTACAGTGGTACCTTGAGTTAAGAACATAATTCGTTCTGGAGGTCTGTTCTTAACCTGAAACTGTTCTTAACCTGAGGTATCACTTTAGCTAATGGGGCCTTCCGCTGTGCTGCCATTTCTGTTCTCATCCTGAAGCAAAGTTCTTAACCCAAGGTACTATTTCTGGGTTAGCGGAGTCTGTAACCTGAAGCATCTGTAACCCGAGGTACCACTGTACTAACAGATTTATGATGGAGTAAGTTTTTGTGGACCACAGTCCACTTCATCAGTTCTTTTTCCTGAAACAGGCCAGCATGGCTATCCTTACAGAAATGGAAACAAATGGGGTTTTTATTGAAGTGGGGTTTTATTATGTAATTGCCTTATTCATTTTAGCATTGTCTGAAACCTGGATTATTGTGTTTATATTCTCAGCAAAGTCAGGAATGTACATTGTTTTCCTTTCCAAGCATCTTACTTGATTTCCTGCAATTTACACTCCAAGGCTCAATTAATTTTAGTCGGTGTTTGTTGTTTTATTACAGCAGTGAGAGGCCAGAGGAGTGTTTCCTTACAATTTAAGCTCACACTCATTAGGAAGCTTCATGCTGTTAACACAATGGCAGACCTGGTTTTGATCTGGCATTTGTATTCTGTTAACCTACTCACTATATGATGAGGAAATGCAATGCCAAAAGTGCTCCAATACTGTGTGTACATAAATTGGTTTCTAGGCGACAGGACTTTTGCACCAAAAGTTTGTCTTAAATCAGAGATAATGGTTGGCTAAGGATGGTGTAGATTTGGATGGAGCAGAATAAGCAGAGGCTTCATCTGGACAAAACAGAAGTACTGTGGCGTGGGCGGGAAGTAGTTTCGACTACTGCCATGCATTCCCTTATGTCTGGTCTGGATGCTGCAACTACTGCAGAATGCTGTAGCCAAAGTGCTGAGGGATCTGCACAAGCTGCTGTTAGCCAAGTCGGCTTTAAGGTCTTGTTACTTGTGTGTAAAAGCCCAAAACAACTCTGGACCAGGTTACCTGAAACAATAATTTCCCCTCCCTTCTCCAGTAATGACATGTCCCTGTCAACATTTGATAAGGTTTGTTGTACAAGCCAACTCCTTAAACTTAGGGTAAGGAACCTGTGGCCTTTCAGGTGTGGTTGGACTAAAAAACTCCCATCATCCCTGATCTTTGGCCACAGTGGCTGGGGCTCATTGGAGCCCAACAGCACTGGGAGGGCCACAAGTTTCTTACCTGGGGTATATTTTTTGTTTTACCACTTGTATCCTATGGATTGTGTAAGACTACATTCTAAATGAGAGGTGGCTAGCCTGTGACCTTCGATATTCCCATCTGCCCCAGTCAACATGGCTGACATATCATTCCTGATCATCAGCCATGACGACTGCAGCAGAAGGGGATCCAACAATGGCTAGAGGCCACAGGTTAGCCGCCCCATAGGAAATCATTGATTTGTCTGTCCTCTCCAGCTGAGATATAAACAGTCCCAATTTGAGCCCAATGCCTCGCCTGTACAAAACAGGGCTATTTGTTTCTACCTTTTGCATGCAATACTGCAGTGGTGTTTTTTTGTTTTTGTTTTAAACAACACAAAATGAGATTTCCAAGAACTGAAGTGGCATAGTAATTTTATTCATTTAATATGAAAAATATAAGTGCTTGCAGTTCTACAAAGGATGAGAAACTGAGTGAGTTCAAAGTGATTTATTTGATTTCCCACATAATCACAGTTATAGTTTTACAACGATAAGGTCTGATACTACTTACAAACAATGCATATTAAAATGAAAGCACTCCTTCCTTCCCAACAGTTACAAAATGGTCTGAAGCCTCCCATAACAGAAGCTTTTCATGAGCATGGTGTTTCTTGAGGTCTTTTAACAGTCTGCATTCAAGACCTAATTCCAACAGTTTAATACAACGCAAGGCTGGGATTAAAGTTCCTAGCAGGAGACAGGTACTGTATGCAACCTGAAAGTGACTGCAGACTTATATTAATACTAATTTACACACTATGTACAATTTAGAGAATTAGCTATTCTCCCTACTTGGTCCGGCTTCGCTATTCTTTCCCTCCCTCAAAATCTTATCTTATTATTGGTCAAGTTTTTTTCCTTTAACTATATACACAATTACTCATTTTTGCAGGCAAGATGTGATGATATTTTACAACGGAAACAGCAAAATGCATGCTTAACTGCAGTAAACACACAGCTTTATATGGAACAGCAAGTCAACATGTAGAGAGTCATTGTTTAAATAGCTGCTGACTGTCTTTCAGCTCATTTTAAAATCAAGAAACAAGAGGCTTCTGCTGCATGCAGTGCTTGATGGGAAAATCATCCTACAATGTTATGCTTGAAGACTTCTTTTTAGCAATACAAGACGTACATTATATTAGGATTACTTTTTTTTTTTTACATTGTTGTACATTTCATTCTTAACTTAAAAGGATTAAAACAAATACATATTTGACGTTGTCCCAGAAAAGATATTTTTGCAAGGTTATTTAGTTTTTCTTTTAACTTCAAATTGTTGCTTTTACCTAGCCATACTATTCATGGGAAGAAAGACACATGGTTCAATAGTGTTTTGTATGGATTTTAATCAATACGGAAAAAACTAAGAAAAGCTTTCCGGTAACTACTTTTCCCCTGCTGCATGCTATAAAATTTATTTCCTCTAACTGCACATAGAAGCTAATGATGATTGCTGTCATTTTCCCAATCTAAGAGAAACGGTTCTGTACTCTTGGTCTATAAAAGGGATTCTGGCACCTTAGACTGCTCCTCTAAAAAGCAGTGAAGTTTTGAAAAGTAATGCAGGTTACAGGATGTTCTTATCGAAAATACTTATGGGGGGGGGGAATGAACCTCCTTCGGTATTCATGGAACGTTGAGATTCATGCACTTCATGTTTCTAACGCATTCTCTCTACTTATATGTTCCATATGCATATGGCAAGAAAATGAAATAAATAATAATGTATAACCTTCATTTTACGGAATTCATATGAATCATATATGGATGTTTGTGTGTATGTGAACTTAAAACAAGCAACAGCATGGGAGTTTAAAACCTTACATGGGGTTCCCTAGGGCATCCAAATTGTATAAATAGATGGGCAACACTAAAGTACTTTTGTGTGTGGCCAATATTAACCCATCAAATGCAAAGCAATGTGGTTGTCCAGTGAATGTGTTTTTGAGTCTGGTTCATGCAGAATATTCAATGAGCGACAACACGGGGGGGGGGGGGAAGTATCCCACCAGCTACTTATCTTTTCTGGAACAACTTATAAATTACAGTTAGACTCTACTATTGGTACAAAGGTCTGAAGAAAAGTCTACATATTTAAATATGTCATTACTTTACTTCAACTAATATAAACAGTAACACTGATATATTTTGCAAATATACAATATGTAGAGTGTAGCTTTAATACTATTAACATTAGATGACATGCAGACAGTTCTATTATCCCTCATAAGGACAAACAATGCTTAAACTGCAAGGAACAACGAGCCTCAGGGGGCTTACGAGATGAACCCTCTTCAGTAATCTGCCTGGATGACCATCAAATTGACTTTTATTACTTTCATTTCATATGTAGTTAATTTATGGGGGGGGGGGAACAAAACAGGAAGTATTGCACGCGTAGAAAATAACAGACAAATTTGAACAGCAGACTAAACTCTAGGTGGTTGTTTTTGCTGAGTGGAAGTTAACAGAAGTAATTGGTTTTTAGTTTTGCTGGTAATCATGATATAATCCATAGCAAGAAGGAGAGGGAGAGAAAAAAACAAAACAAACTGGAGACATCGGGGGTCACCAATACATAAGAGTCATCTTCACGTATCACTTCTACATTCCGAAGCAACACCGTTTTTTGTGTTTTTTTGTTTCACCCATCTCTCACTGGAACTTTTCCTTCCTCTTCTTTTAAACCACATTCACAATTCTGCTGGTGTAGTTCTGCAGTTCCTTTTGTTTCTGCCAGTTAGATGTACAGTCCTTGTGACTGGGGTGGCTCAAAATGCTGAAACTACAAAGTATTCTCCATGTATGATTTCTTTCTTTTTTTTTTAAATTTAAAAAAATAGGATTTAGGGGGTACAAAAAAATCGCATACGGATTTGCGAATGACTCGTTACAACACATAAGCAACAACAGCACAGTTGGCTCTTACGAGATGTCTTGCGACTTAACTGGACCATGACAGTTCGAGCAAGACTCAGCCTGCTGAGTGCTGGGAAAAACTAACAAATGTGATGAAGAAATGGTGAGAGAGTCCTGCTGCCAGCACATGGCTACATGGAATTACAGTTATAAAAAAATCTGTACTAAAATAAGCCTTCAAGTTTCAGATCACTTTCATATGGAAAGGCAAGCCTGAACTGCAGTCTATTTTAACTGAGATAAACTGAGTAAGTTATGGTAAAGTGGCAATGTGTCTGGAAAGGGATGGATGCTTCTTGTTTTAAGGTCTGAGATGAATGTTTATGCCGTGTACGCAAGTACCTTCCATTTAAATCTTCATGTGAGTTTATTAAAACATATATGAATATAAAAGAAGAACTATGGATTGTGTAAGTTCACAGTTATCACAGCCTTTAAAGTGTCTAAGAATCTGAGTAACCAAAAGGTAGAGACAGCCCTTAACAAAGGGGGTCTCATGTTGCTACTGTATAGTTACTGCATCTTAACTAGTTTGCTTACCTGAAATAGTAGAACAGTTATAATACTGATTAAGTATATTATCTTGTTAATAAAATAAGGATTTGTACAAAACAATATTTGACTACAACAGCTAAATGCTATGTTACTTGGCACACTTTGCAATGATTGCTTAGAGATATTTTTCAAAGTCCAGAGAACTTTTAATGAGAACACTGAAATGCCTGGAATTTGTTCCTAGTTTTTTGGTCTACACTTTCATTACGCTGTTCAACTACTGTACTGCCTTTCTATCAGTAAATGGAATTCCTGGTAAAGTATATATTGCTAGCTTTGTGGACTGCAAAAGTTTTGTTGTAAGCATAAATGTTAACTATACAGTATATATATATATATGTATATATTTATATATTTATATTATATAAAGTTTACTTACGTACTTTCATCAACCATATGAGGTCTACTTTTTTTGCCCATTGACAATTAAGGAGCAAGAATGCAACACTTGGTTCTATTTCATATTTTTTTCCTTTTATTTTGAGGTTATGTTTTCATTATGCATTAAAAATTGTCATGGGGGGTGGTTGAAACGAAAGGTAGCATAAATGTTTTCAGCAAGCAGCATATTTTCAAGGCTACTGGAGAAAAGGAGGGAGAAGATCACCACTGAGTTCAGTTGTAAGACCAGCACTGATCAAGCTAACGTGAGTTGTTCTATTGAATCCTTAAGGCAAAGGAGTCAATTAAGTTGTTTCTGGCTTGTGTTTCATTTTTATTTATTTATTATTATTAAAAAAAACAAACAAACCATTCCAGTTTTATAGGCTGCTTCTGCTTCCTGTAAGTGCCTGTCTAGAGCTACAATTACTGGCAGAGGAGTTTGGTTCTAGACTATTGTGCTGATGCCGCTATGTTTGGGCTTAGTGCTGGCTGAACTAGAAGGGGGCACCGGCTGGCCGTGGTGATGTGGCGCGTGGGAAGAGTGTACGGGGTGAGGAGCGGGTAATGGAGGATGGGGGGCATGAGAATGTTGCGAGTGGGAATGCGGTATGTAAGAATGCTGCGAATGTGCTACATGCTGCGAGTGTGGCACGTGGTGGTACTGGTGTGGGTGCTGGATATGCTGGGGCGGGTGGTAGTGGTGGTGGTGATGGTAGGGAGGCGGGTTCTGCATGTGGCAGTACTGAGAATGGTGGGTGTGCACTTGTGCCTGGGTCTGCCCCTCCGCTGGCCCCGCGTGGTGCAGGGCGGAAGAAGAGTGCTGCGAATGCTGCTGATGTGAAAGTATAGGAGGGTGAGGTGGGTGCTGTGACGGGCCAGTTGCTAGGTGGCCTTGGGAAGGCTTTCCCCTTTTACTACCAAATAAGGACCCTAGTAGTGAGGAAGAATTAGGCATAGTCTGGTGGTGAGGGCGAGATGGACACTCTCGGGTTGATGTAGCTCTTCGGCGCATATGAGGACTGCTAATGATGGACCCCTAAAAAGAAATTAATAGAAATAAAAATTAAAAAAACCTTAAAATATGTGTAAAAGAAAAAAGTTCACAGCGACCATCATGTTTTCCTTGAAAGCTCATAGGGATAAACTGCTGTATGACCTATAGGAGATGTCTGTCTGTCTATGACCTATAGGAGATGTCTGTCTGTCTGTCTGTCTGTCTGTCTGTCTGTCTGTCTTTCTGCCAATTTCTTCCTTTAAGGTACAGGTGAGGTGATGCTAGATATGACCCAATTATAGAAAGAAGTGATTTTTCCTTTTCTTTTTTTTTAAAAAAATGAAAATATTGACCAATAAAAAGCAATCACTAGTCAGTGATTAAAACATTTTGATCTGATTTTAAATCTACATTTTTTCTTATTAAGATATTATAGTCATGTGATTTATTTCTCCCTTCAAGAACAAATATATACATGTCTACAGTTACAATGAATTAAACTGAAATAATTAGCACACTGTTAACATTCAGATTTTGTGCTGCGTTTTCCTCTAACATTAACTTTAAAGTAGACTGCTTCTATTTTGAGATGTAGAAAGTAAGTGAGCTATCACTAATAGTGTTAGACTGAGACTATCCTTGTTTCTCTTTATCGGTAGGTTTTGTGCTTTGTTCACACATCTCCTGACCTATGGCCCAGTATTCCCTGCTATTTAGCCGTTGACTATCTAATTAGTCTGTGGACACTTTATTTTCTTTATGGACAGCTATAGGGACATAGCAATGGTGAGGCATCGTGTGCTATATGTAGACTGTAGTCTACCTAATTCAAACACACACGGACATCACACACACATACGCGCGCGCACACACACACACACACGTGCGCACGCGCGCACACACACAAAAATCTGCAGGTTGAATTCAAAGACATGAACAGTATATAAATGGTTTGAAGATGAATGAAATCTCATGAAATCCACATTGAATTCATCCGTCTTATTTGTTTTCTTTCCCCATGCCCTATCTATGCAATTCCATGGTGTCACGACTGCATACATTTCGCAATTTAACTCGAAAAATAAGCAATGTGAATGGCTGAGCATGACGTCAGTAGCTAAGTTAAATATCAAACAGCACCAACGGTGTACTGTGTAACAAATAACCACTGGGCCTTTAAGCAGGGACCAGACTGTAATGGTGGCAAGAGGGCACATCATATTCATTTAACCATGCTTGCAGGAACAGAAGGGGACGAGGTTAGCTGAAATAATAATAATAATAATAAAAATGGTACTTGATCTAAAAACAAGCCAGAAGTAGTAGTAGTGTTGCTGTTTTCTTTAAAAAATAAATAAATAAAAATCTAAAAATACGAAGTGAGTAGCCTTGGCATGCATTTTTATTTGAGGCAGGCAGGTTGTATGTTAGAAGAAAAAGAGCAAAAAATGTATATAAAAGAAAGGTTTGAAATGCACATCACATCCAGCTAGACATCAGTAACTTCCTACTTACTTCCATATTGCTGTCTAGCGATCCTGCACTGCTGCGACGCCCACGCTTGCCTGCCCAGGACATGCAATACCATAGATTAGAGACTGAGACAAGACCTGGGTGATCAACAGCCGCCTTCGCTGATGCATTGTAGGATCCTCTAGTGGGGTCTGGAGATTAACTTTGCATGTTGTGATAGGACAGGAACTGAAACTATACTAGTAAACATTTAAAGCACAATCCTGTACATGATTACTCAGAAGAAAGTCCCCACTCTGTTTGGCGGAGCTTGCTCTTAAGTAAGTGTGCTTAGGATTCTAGCCTTAGGATGCAATTCACATCCCACTGACGTCAGAGGGGAAGCTCCCACTTATTTTAATGGATGGAACCACTGAAATTTAAAGCTTCTCGTTTAATTACATGCCTTTCTCAACTGTAGTTTATGGGGGGAATGCCTGTGTCTGGGAATCCTTAATGCACTCGGTAGATGTTATACTGTGGGTAGGATTTTAATAACTGTTTTTATATGTATCAAGTATTTCTTAAATACCGTTAAAAAATATTTCAGGTACTGTTGCAGTGCAGTCCTAAGAGTGCTTATTCAGAAGTTGCACTGAGTTAAACTACTGCAGTCTTAACGTCTCCAAGGATGGGATTAGGCATTTTGTCCGCATTTCAAAGTTTTAGTACTTGAAATTATAATTATTAAGATACAATAGTGGATTTCATATAACATTCTTCCATGGTAAAACTAAACTTAATTTTCTGTAGAAAATTTAAACTGCAGTGCCATACCTATGGTGAGATTGTGTTTGTCAACTGTGCAGTGCTTACACATTTAAGATATAGCCACAATTGCCTACAGTTTATGGCTTTGTTTTTATAAACATGTGTGCTCAGATCAGATGCCAGATCTTACATGCAGGCCCCTAACTTGGTGATTCATATTCCTAAATAACTTATTTTGGCATCAAAATGACAGCATGACTGGCCAAAGACAGAACAAAGTACTCTGATTTCTAAAACTTACTACTTGATGCACCTTTTGAGAATGTACACTGAAATAAAAGCAAGTATGGTTGGTATATTTGTTTAATGTTAACTTATGGACTAAGCAAGTATAAAAGTTTTCTGTTCTAGTAACAAGCCATGTAAGAATGTAGGAGCATCACTGCTGGATCAGGCCAAAGGCCCATATAGTCCATCATCCATTTTTCAGTGGCCAACCAGATGCCTACTGGATGAAGCCTACAAGCAAGACCTGAGTACATTCTGTTTCCAACAGAGCATGGACAAGCATGGCTAGCAGCCATTGATAGTCTTACATGAATGTGTCTAATCTGTTTAAAGACATCCATGCCAATTACCATCATTACATTTAGTGGGAGAGAATTCCATGTAACTATGTGTAAAGAAGTATTTTCTTTTGTCTGAATCTTCCAACATTCAGCTTCTTTAAAGGTAAAGGTACCCCTGCCCGTACGGGCCAGTCTTGACAGACTCTAGGGTTGTGCGCCCATCTCACTCAAGAGGCCGGGGGCCAGCGCTGTCCGGAGACAGAGCCGCACACGGAAACGCCGTTTACCTTCCCGCTAGTAAGCGGTCCCTATTTATCTACTTGCACCCGGGGGTGCTTTCGAACTGCTAGGTTGGCAGGCGCTGGGACCGAGCGACGGGAGCGCACCCTGCCGCGGGGATTTGAACCGCCGACCTTTCAATCGGCAAGTCCTAGGTGCTGAGGCTTTAACCCACAGCGCCCCTTTATTTCCAGTAGTATGAGAGAAGCCTATCCACTCAATGCATAATTTTATACACCTCTATCATGTGCCCTCTTTCCTTGTCTTTTAAACAGTAAGCCCAAATGTTGTAACTTTTCTCCTCAGGCAAGTTGCTCCAACCCTTTGGTCATTTTGGGCTCCAGAACAGTCCAGATAAAATAAAGTAGCTCCAGAGTAAATTAATCATAATTTTAGTAACTAGAGTTTAATGATGAAGCCCATTTCTTAATGGAGACTTGAGTTCTTTACATCTTAGTTTCCTAATACATCTTTACATCTTAGTTTCCTCACAAAAGTCACACAATTCCCTCAAAGCTCTAACAATATGAAAAGCTCTCTTTTTCCATGGTGAAATAAACAACACAGCTTCACGACAGCAACTTTTTTCTATAGTCCCTTTCGTATCAGGTTTTGTAGAGTTGTTTGCCTTTTCTAAGCGCTTAACACATTTTATGGGAGTAATGTTTTCCAAACTATACTTAAAGGCTGCCAGAAAACATACAGCACTGCACTGAACATGATTTCATATGCCAAGAAGGTGCGTATACTTCTTAGGCTCTACATTTAATAATACATATGTACAAAGTATTCTCTACCAGCCTCCCCCAAAAAGGGACAGAGGGCAAACATCTCATTTGATCAGAGGAAAGCAGGTAAGTGTTAGGATAAACATGATTGCAAGCCCTCTTCTGTAGGGAAGTGGGCACAATTCATCATCTCTCCTGACTTCTACAAAAATGAGCAACCAAGCCTGTGAATTTTTTCAACACACAACTCTAAGAAGCAACTTAATTTCACTTATCTTCCTTTTTTCTTTTTACCCAGAGCTGCAGATTGGTGTGGCTCCCTTCTCTATAACCAGGGCTTGGGCTGATTAACATTCTAAGGTCTTCTAAATGTGTTTGAGGGAGGGGGTTTATCGGTTTGTTTCTGTGTTAATATGTAATTTGTGTTATTTTGTATTTTTTGTTGTGAACTGCCCCCTGATTTTCAGATGCAGGGCAGTATAAAAATATAATAATAATAATAATAATAATAATAATAATAATAATAATAATTTGTTCTTGTTGGTATCCTTCTGTCTCAAGAGCCAATGGAGAAGAAGAAGAAGAGTTTGGATTTGATATCCTGCTTTATCACTACCCAAAGGAGTCTCAAAGCGGCTAACATTCTCCTTTCCCTTCCTCCCCCACAACAAACACTCTGTGAGGATGAGTGGGCCTGAGAGACTTCAGAGAAGGGTGACTGGCCCAAGGTCACCCAGCAGCTGCATGTGGAGGAGCGGAGATGCGAACCCAGTTCACCAGATTACGAGTCTACCGCTCTTAACCACTACATCACACTGGCTCAAATGTGCCTCTGCGGGTGAAGTGACCTCCCCAAGGCACAAAGAGGGCCTGAACTGTGTATGGAGGGCCTGAGCTGCCCAGACAACAGGACCCTCCCTTTTGGAGTCACTCATATGGTCCAAAGGAAAGCAAAGCAATGCATTTGGCACTAGCTTGGCTGCAGGAGTTGCCAGAAGGAGGCATACAAGGCGCCATCCAACCATCTGGATTTGTGTAGGGTTTACTCCTCAGCCCTTTCTTCTCTTGAAGATATCCCATAAGGCAGCAGAATTTTCCTTCTCCTTCTAGATAGGCTACCTTCCCAAGTTGACAAGCCCCAGCTGCCCATCACTTCCTTCGACTATTTGGGTCTGAGGTAAGTTCATTAGTTAGCTGTGTTACTTTCATACTTTCATCTTGTGATAACCTGATAACTAGATACAGATAAACAAATCTACTATATCTATATCTATAATGAAGGGTTTTTTTGGTGGTGGTGCCCCAGTTTTGGAATATCTGTCTAATAAGGTGTGCCTTATTAAACTTTACAAGCTTTTAGATGCCAGCTTAATAAATGATTATTTATGCAGACACTTTAAGATGTATTAAGATATAATGCCCCCATTTCTTTTTTATTTTAGAGTTGTCTTTTATTGATGTTGTTTTTATTACGACGGGCATATGTTCCCTGACTTCTTTTAGTGAAGGGCAGTAAAATTGTTTTAAATAAGTAAATAAATAATTTTACAATTCTGTACGGTCATATCTATAGCTGCCTGAAGCAGGGCCTTCTCTGGTGTGGCACTGTAATTATGGAATGACATTGCCTTGAGAAGGCAACCTGGATACCTATTTTCCAAATTTCAGGAAATTAGTACAAGCTTCATATACCTTGAGTATAAGGGACCTCAATGTTTGTAGGCTTTAATTTAAGCAACTGTATCTCATCATCTTAAACTGCATCTTGTCATCTTAAAATGCTCAGACTCATCTGAGGTAGGTTTCTGACTCAAAATCAATCCTACTCTTAGAACACCATGGTGATGCATCTGGCAAATTTCTGAATCTTTCACAACTATCCTTGAATGTCTCCTCCAATTATGCAGGTGGGGGGGGGGGGGAATGATGCTTAAGATGGTAATTGCGGTCATATTTCCAAAGCAATCCAAACCCTGGCTCAAGTTTTTTTCTAACATCATGCAGCAAATGGCTAGTCAGTTACCAAGGGTCTATTCTGGAGGTCACAGTACAAATTGCAAATATGCACTTGAGCTTACAGATATTTCTTTCGGACCTATTTATTCTTTATCACACAATGAAACAACTTGTGGAAGTTGTCTGGGCTGCATGAGACACAAACAAGTAAACCTGACTTTGTTAAACTGAACAAGCAGCCTTTAAAAGCTAGCCATTTATTATTTTAAATAAATTATACTTTAATAAATTGGAGAAGTGTTAAAGGACATATTTAATGCTGGAGACCTGGAAAACCTAATTCAGGTGGTGAGAATAATATAGGGCTTAAAAAATCCCACATGCAGAGTGGAGAGTCCTTCATATGTTTGTTGGACTACAACTCCCATCAGCCCCAGCCAGTATGACCAATGGTCAGGAATGATGAGTGTTGTAGTCCAGAAACGTGTAGAGGGCCACAGGTTCCCTGGCCCTGAACTAAAAGATGCTTTGCCTTAACATTTTTGACATATTTTTCTTTTAAAAAGAAAAACATTAAATATCCAAGTTTTACATACATCATAGTATCAAAAAATAACATTATTACATATTTACACAATCTCTGAAATAAAAATTATAAAGCAGTTATAACCACTGTTTGAGTGGTAAAATTAATTTATATATTTTTTTAAAAAACCAAGGTAACCTTTTGAAAAAAGCATGTTTCTACCTACATAAGATACACACATTCTACTTCATCAGCCTCCTCCTGCGTTCTGTAGCAAAGCAGCACTACATGATTTTTAGCTACATGCTCAATCTTTCTATTGGAGGGGAGTGATGGCATAAAATGACAGTGTTGTTTAAGCTAAACACTTCAGAATATCATTGCAGTGAGGGCCAGTTCAAACATGTATCTTTGAAGATCATATTTAACATGAACCCTATAGATACACACATTTAAAAAAGTAGTAAAAGATGTTATCTACACATCTTGTTCATTTTTCATGAAATCAAAGGATCATCAGTATCAGCCTATAATTTACACAGAATGTGTTACCATGCGAAGCATTTTACCTCTATGATTTGAAACTGCATGGAGGAAACTTTCTGTGGGGGCACCATGTTTGAACCCATGGAAATCACTCCAAAGGCCAACTTCTATAGAACTGCACCTGTTTCTAGTTGGTTCTTGGCAATAGCTAACATAATCAATGAAAAGACCACCTAGGTTATCCTAACCAATACCTGACTGTATGTGTGTGTTTCTTAAATTAATTGCACTGCACAAGTCCAAACATAAACTCTCCATAATTATGACTCAATAAAAATGTTAAAATTAAGTTTAGCTGGGTTTAACATAGTCACTGCTTAAACCCTTCAGTCTGACGCCTATATTCAACTACAGAAAATAACTTGTCAGCGATGAGTATATGCCAACAGAAGGCATATGTTGTTGACATATGGGATGTTTCATGCTTATGAAAAATTCATCTTGTTTATGGTAAAGAATCCTCCAAATGAAGCTAGCTACATGACAATGTCTGAAGTAAATGTTTGAAAGCTCCTAGTAGGATGAAAAGTGTTAACTGGGAATCATGTCAAGTAATAGGTACATTAGTGAAAATCCTGTTTCTAAAAATGAATGTTGTCATTCTCAATGAAAAACAGAAAAGTGAAACCATTCTTACATGAAACTAAATAATGACAACTGAGGCCTCATCCAAAGTCTACTCAAGTGCACATTTTTAAATAAAATTCTAAAAAGCGTTAATTCAGTGGACCTTTGCACTGGTGTTGTTCCATGCAATGGATTCATGGTTGTCACTGAATTGTCCCCAAAGTAAAGTAATATATAATAATTACTATGGATAAATAATTGTGGCTAAATAGAAAGTAAACCCGTTTGGTAAAAATAAAGATGCAGATATTAGTATGTGTATATTTTGATGCACAAATAGGCATGTGCACATAATTACACATAGCACATACTTAAGATTAGTATTGATGACTGTAGCACAGTAGAAGCTTACACATGATATTTTAAAGAGAAAGGTATACCTCACTTTTATATAGAGGTCAAAATAATATATAGGATGAGAAGTAAGCAAAAATTTAAATCTATTTGCTAGTGGTATATTATAATTTAGCATAGTGTACATGGTGTTAACAGGCAGAGCAATTCTACTAGCAACAGCAGGAACCAATAACGTGCCTGTTCTTTTGCACACATAGCTGAAATGTAGTGCCTGACATTCAAAATACACCAGGGCATTGATTTCCAGTCATAATCGTAGTGGCATTTTTCTACGTTCTGCACACATGGGTGAAATGTAATGATTAAAATGCATACATTCCAAAACCAGGTATAACATCTATAATTTAAAATATATTTTAAACTTCCATCACCATCCAGATCAGTTCAAACTTTAGGCCCAAAAGCAGTGGTGAAATTACTACTTTGCCAAAATGGTTCCTTCCCCATTATGCTGGCAACAGTAGTGTAGTATATACACAAGCCACAGTTTCAGCAAGATCTAGAGTCTACGTTTTGAGCAATACGATAAAGTAGCACCAGTCACACAACTAGATCCGATTTATGTTTCTCTAGATAGAATTTAGCAGGGCTTCACTCAATTTCATTCATCAATATACTACATGGATACACATAAGCACAAAATGCACAAGAAGCAGCCAATACACAATGATTTGGGTGGGTTTCCCCCCCTTAATGACAATATAAGGAAGAAAATAACAAAAAGGGACGCAAAACTAAACAGTTTACGCCTAGCATTATACCTAGCATTTAATTAACCATTATTTTATTATAAACTTACAATTTTTCTCTGTCTTCTTTCTCCTTTTAAAGTATACATAGAAAGCTACAACAGTTTAATATTTTCAAATGGAATTTTTGAATAAGCAGAGGGGGGAAAACAGAAAAAAACCACACTACTAACAATGAGACATATTTAACTTTCTCAGGATTACATTTTTACATTTTCATATTTGTTAGTGTATTCTTTGAACACACACACACACACACACATATATTAAGGTTCAATGAATATATTTATCAAAGAAGGAAGAAATGCATACCTGCTTCAGAGAGGTCTCTAAGAGAGCTGCTAAGGGCACTCCTTTTAAGACCCTCCCCAGTGGCGTAACTGTCATCAAGGCAGGCACGGTTCAATGTCCCATTGCCAGACTCTTTTTTCAGGCTAGAGCACTGAGACATGCTTGGTCGTACTACACCTTTCTGCTTTTCAAGTTCAGCTGAAAAGAGAGCAGAAGCCAATTACTCTATTGGCTCTTTCAGATTGTAGTGCTGAAAAAATACGTATAGACTCTTCACTGGCTCGTTAATAATTTCAATAATCCCAAATGCAATGCTTTTAAAAATTGGCACCTGGACAAATAAAGCTTGCTCCGTCTGCAAAAGGCACAGCATTCCAGAAGCTGGGCCACACACCGGAGCCTTTTAAGGGCTTCTACAACAGAAAGCTCTGTGTGAGAAGGCGCATTCCTATTAATTTCAGTGCTGGGGAATATTTCATATACCTAAGCCTTTTGCCCATCCCTTCTCCTTTGGCACCAGAAATGCTCAGAAACACTACCTCACATAATGTAGTCTCTGGCGCACAAAGCAAAACAAACAAACAAACAAACAAACAAACAAACAAATATCACTAGGTAGCAATGAACAAAGCAATGCTATCAAATTTGCCATGTCTTCATTTGGTTGGGTGTCACTGCACCTTGGTAGTCTGTGTGCATAATTGTATCACAACAGCCTACCAATGCAAATCCTTCTGCCAGACTCCAGATGGCAGTGGCACATAACCATGTGGTAACAGCCAGTAATGGATTTTAAAAGTGTGGTCAGAGCCCACCAGCTGAAATGGATGCCCTTGGACAACTGTAAGTCTCCTGAGGAAAATGCAATATATCAGCACTTAGTAAAACATTCTCGTATTTCAACTGCAGTTTAATCTTGAGTAGTATTCAGTCACACTTTCTGAGCAAATTTTAACTTTATAAAGAAATCTTTTTGTAAATATGCCAAAATAGATTCACCTAACATAATTAATTTTAAATGCTCTACTATATGTACCTTTGTACTTACACTCTATTCTGTGCTTTTCCATTTCTTGTACCTCTGCAACAGACTCCCTCAGATCATCCGTAAATTTCTTTCTGTCCTGGGGATTTGGCGCATTGAAATTTATCAAAACTTTTATATCTGCTCCTGGAACAGCTGATGTGAGCCGTATGCCATTAGGATAATCTAGGAAGTGGTAAAAGGGATATATGTATATTAATTTCTTTCAAGGGTTTTCTGTTCTCTATTTGCATCTCCAAATGTGAAAAAGATACCGTGGTACCTTGGTCTAAGAACAGCTTAGTTTATGAACAACTTGGATTAAGAATGCTTCAAACCCGGGAATAGCTGTTTTGGTTTGTGAACTTTGCCTTGGAATAAGAACATGTTTCACTTCCTGTTGAGTGTGTTCCATTTGTAAATTGAGTCCCCCCCCTGCTATGGGAAAGCACACCTTGGTTTAAGAATGCTTTGGTTTAAGAACGGACTTCCGGAACAGATTAAGTTCATAAACCAAGGTACCACTGTACATCCCAGTACATCAAAGATTTCCATTACCACATTAACATTTCTTGGTAACCATGTGCAACTGATAGGATAAGGCCTGGAAGCATCTGTGTCTATTGTGCTCCTCCCAGAGTAGACCGGGCAACTTACCCTGAGGGAGATATGTATTGGAGTCTCAGGGCTTCTAGGTCTCTCTGTGTTTCTGGTGTTATTTCAGGTGGTCTAAGATGCCTACAGGTCTGTCACATTCTTTACAGTTTCTGGCAGAAACTGTCCTCTCTGTCACCGACTACCTCCAGGAATAACATGGAGGGTCCGAATGAACACAAGACCTTACTGAACAGCCATTCAAAGATTACTACAAAACTATAAACTTGGCAAAATCCCACCATTTGTAGGCAGAAAAATGGGAAATGACTTTCTTAGAACCAAGAATGCTGTTGGATTAGTTGGAAGTCCCATCTAGACCAGCACCCTGTTCTTACAGTGGCTGACTAGATGCCTATGGGAAGTCTTCAAAGAGGGCATTTTATGGGGGTGAACCTATGGTTTATCCTGTAGACGGCTACTTGCTGTCATTTTTTCAGCCACATAAGTCTCCTGGGTGAATCAAATGTGTCATCATACATGATGAGGGGCGTTTGAGGGAAAACAACAGTCACCACTCACTCAAGGATTTCCGCCATATATCACAGACTAGATGCAGTGGTAGACTGAATGATCACTGAAATCCTCTGATGGGGCACTTCTGGTGGTTCCTCACACCCTCAAGACCATCACCAGGGACTCTGGTGAGGCAGGCCCTGCCCTGTGGAACTCCCTTGCAGCAGTGGTTTGGTGGGAACTATCGCTCCTTCATTCATATGTTACTTGAAAACTTTATTGTTCAGAAAGGCCTTTGCAACATGAATTTTCTTGTTAAATCAATCAGTATTTACTGATGTTAAAATGAATATTGTTATTTTGTGTTTATATGTTGTATTCCGCCCTGTTGTATTTTTAAATGAAAGTGCATCTTATAAAATTGTAAATAGACAAATATCATCACAAGACTGACAGCTATGGCAATCAAATATAAGTGGGATTACACCCCGTCATCTGCCCCAATCCTTACATTTTTGAGCCAAAAGGGCTTCTAAATAGAAAAGTACTAAAAGTACTAAATAAAGCATGTTAATACTTTTAATTACTTTTAAGAAAAGTACTAAGTAAAAAAACATTAATACACAGTGATTTATTGGGCCACAGACAGACATTAGAAATGATATTATATAGAATTTTTAGCCATACATATAAAAGAAATATTTAAGATTTATAGTCATTAATCTTAAATCATAACTGTAATGTGAACTGTAGAAGAAACACTAATATACAACTTAAATAAATAAATAAATAAAAAAAATTGAGTAAGGCAAGAAATGTTTAAAAACCGTATAAAATGGATTTCTCCACCATCAAAAGAGGATATATAAAACAATGCATATTTTGTACAAAAATAGTACATATACAGCTGGATACACAAATGTTTACTTAGATAAATTCTCAGAAAGGGGTATGAAAATATCTTCTGAAGACTTTTTAAAGGTTAGAATTGGCAGGAGGAAGGAACTTGGTGAATATATTTTCACTGTTACGTGGTCTCTAGTGAAAAGAAACTGCAGACCTTCATGTTTTTAAAATGAAGGTTTGTTCTGGAAAAAGTGGAAGTATCTATTTTGTCTTTCCCTCATGACCTACGAATGTGGAGATAAATACTTTATTTCCTTTCAAAGAATTAACTGATTCCTCAAAATACATTTTACCCTTATCATCCACTCCCCGTTGCCAATCATTTCCATCACCTTGCCAGCTTCTAAATGGAATACTTTTCACTGCCTTTGCTTTAATTGACAGAATTCTCAGAAGGTATATGAATTCCATTCCTTGAGAACAAGTTGAATCTGACAGCTGCAACATGCAGATAGGCTGGGTGGGATATTTGTAGCTTGCTGCCTTCAGCTACAATAATGGCTATGCATTGCTTAAAGAAAAATGCTGAAGGGGGAGAAATCTGGAGGAGAGTGTCAGGCTGTGTTGAACCAAACTGATCTTTCTCCCAAATATCCCGTATGTGTACATATACTAAACCATTATAGCTCACATGTTTCAGAGAATCAAGATTTCATACTTTATTTTTAAAAGTCTTTGAATGCTATTCTTATTCTGTTTCATAAACATTTAAATAAATGTGGTAACAAAGCAAAATCACACTATCATGTCAATATTAACAATAGGTTTTCATTGCCTTTCTGCAATATCTTTTCTAAAAAATGGGGGAAACCACTAGATACTTTGCTTCCTCAAGGTATAGTTATTCTTAAGAAGCGAGGTGCACTAATTTACCCTTAACTCATATGAGAAGCTAAAAACACTTACACTGATTCTCAAAAAGGAGCACCTGCATTCCATAGAGGGAAAAGGACTGTCGAAAACTGTATGTGACTGAATTCTTCTTCTTTTGAAAGATCTTAGTGACCTAAAAATATCAACAAGCATAGAAATCAATGTTGGAGAAAGTATTCAGTTAGTTGAAAATACTGAAATGTATGGACAATAAACCCTTATAATATTACACCAGTAAGCATCCTGAAGACAAACTCTGCCTAAAATACCATTTCCATTTACTAGCCTTTTGGTTTCCCTGCACAACTTTCCTAGCTGATCCTGAGCACTGCATACAACTGTAGTTGTATATACAGCTCTTCATCCACATATGAATAACAATCCATGCAGAAACCCACATAGTGCCCCTACATGGATTCTGCATTTAAGTAAGCCCCTTTACTTAATGGAGTCTCTGCATTAATATAATGTGTTATAAAAATATGCCTGTCAGATACATACCACAAGCAGATCATTAAATAAAAATATTTCCCGCTGGTGTAATCCAAGCTTCTGTGGTTTATTTGGATCTGGAACTTCAAAGAGCCTGCAGTAGCAAACAAGTCTCCGATGTGGAAGAGAAAGGACCTGTGGGATATAGTACAATGCTGACTTTAGTCAATTAAAAAGGAGCTCAGTATTATTTAGGTGAAGTCTTCTCCACAACAGTGAAGGAGGAAATAGCTAAAAATGGTGAAAATAAAAAACATTTAAGGAAAAGCTTTTCATTAGCCTCTCTTTGCACCCTTTTGGATTTTCCTTTTTTTATCATCATATTTATATATTGGTGGTAACCTCATATGTTATTTCATGAAGCCTGTTGTCCAATGCTACTATCATTAACACAGGGTGGGTTAACGCTGGTGGGTTAAACCACTGTGCCACTTGGGCTTGCCGACTGAAAGGTCGTGGTTCGAATTCCCACGACGGGGTGAGCTTCCATTGTTCAGTCCCAGCTCCTGCCAACCTAGCAGTTCGAAAGCATGTCAAAGTGCAAGTAGATAAATAGGTACCGCTGTGGCGGGAAGGTAAACGGTGTTTCCGTGTGCTGCTCTGGTTTTGCCAGAAGCGGCTTAGTCATGCTGGCCACATGACCTGGAAAAAATGTCTGCGGAAGCAGACAAATGCCAGCCCCCCTTCGGCCTTTAAAGCGAGATGAGCGCCGCAACCCCAGAATCGTTCGTGACGGGACTTAATTGTCAGGGGTCCCTTTACCTTTACTATCATTAACTCTTCAACAGTATTCTGATTTTCCCCAGTAGGGGGAATAGGTGAAAATAATTCCCCCTAGCTCCATGCCAGTGCATGTATTGTATCTGATACAGTATGGGGACTAAGGTTCCTTTACTTCAAGGTCAATACGGATTTTCCACTGTCTTTTCCACAAGATGCTAGCCTGTTTATACATGGACAAACAGAAGGCTACTAACAATAAGTTTTAATTGCAATGAATTTTTATTAGAGTCTAACTTCTTAGATTCTAAGTTCTTCTTAGCCCCAGTGCAGAGGAACTGCATCTCAGTTCCTGAGCCAATAATTTTATTTTGGCATCCATGACATCTAAGGAAAGATGCCAAACGTACGGGGGGCGGGGGCGGAATCCTGATCAGCAAAGTGACCTGCCACACATGGTCCACTTTTACAATGATTGATGCAGCATGCACAATTTAAAATTCCTTCCATATGAAGAATATAATATATACTTCATATTCATACAAATGTTTTAATGAAGTGTCTCAAAGTATAACACAAAGTCAGCAAGAAAACATTTCTCATATTCAGTGAGCTTCTGAGCTCTTGCAGATCAGTTGCCCAATTCTATTCAATACATGGGGAAACTATAGCAAATCTGTGTTTCCTGATTAACAGCAGAATAAAGAGTGGCTAATCTGTTGAACTCCAACTCCCATCAGCTCCAGCTACCATGGCCAGTAGTAAGGGATGGTGGAAAATGTTAGCCTCTCCTGGTTTAGGGCATGAATCTTGACTTCCCTTCTGTGAATGGAGCAGAGTTCACTGAACAGATTCCCCACCAACTTAACAATTGGCTCCTGTAGGTTGTGGACATTTGGAAATTGGGATGTGGTATGGCAGGAGCTGGTGACTGGCGGAGCGAGTTAAGACCCAAACCTAGTTGTTCTAAAAGGTCAAAGCCAGAAATTCATCTTATCAATTAGTACAAAAATTACTGAAGAATTATGGTTTGCTCCAAAGAAAATTCTTATATTTAATTTCTAATATTAAACACAAGTGAAAAGGCAATTTCTTTACTTTTCAACTTATATTTTAATTCTAATTTTTTATTCTAGAGGTAATGCTAGAATACTTGAGGTACCTGAATAACATTACTAAGCATATTCTATTTAACTTAATATGGCAATGAGGTTTCATTGATAACTGGAAGCCTGAATATTTGCTGTCAAAGGTCCCACAATAGTCACCAACAGCAGTATTCCAACATTTATTACCGTATGTGACAATATGTGAAGACCTTCATCTATACAGTGGTACCTCAGGTTAAGTACTTAATTCGTTCCGGAGGTCCGTACTTAACCTGAAACTGTTCTTAACCTAAACTTTTAGTTAATGGGGCCTCCTGCTGCCGCCGCACGATTTCTGTTCTCATCCTGAAGCAAAGTTCTTAACCTGAAGCACTATTTCTGGGTTAGTGGAGTCTGTAACCTGAAGTGTATGTAACCTGAAGCGTATGTAACCTGAGGTACCACTGTACCTGTCCCCTAACCCCTATATATAACAGACAAACAGAAGACATGCAAGGGCACACCCAATGCTCAATGTTTTGCAGCTTGTGTGTGTGTGAAAGATCCTAAAGGAATGTCTCAGTCCCACATTCCTCTACTACATAATCTTGTGCTAAGTTTCCACACTGATTGATTAAGCTGATTAAACACTAAAAACAATGAAAGCAAAGCACATTTATGAAATATTCTGACATTAAAATAATGCAAAAGAAAGAGATGTACGTTTAAATATCTGCAGATCAGAGGCCATGCACACCTTTGAGGGGAGAGGCAAATTGTTTTTAATCTCAAAATTGTTAGGAAATATGTCTAAGGGCAGCTCACCACAACTGACCTCAGCAAACCTCTTCCTGGCTGGCTGCTAATGTAAACTTTATCTGTCCGGAGAGCCACTTGCCCGTGGCCGCCTCAATCGCTGGCAGAATCCGTGAGTGGGCGTTTCTTGAACTTCTTCCAGCACAAAAGCTCCTTGACGCCCAGTCTCCGCCTTCCCTCTCTGCGCAAAAGCCTTCTGCGCAGAGAAGGCGTGGTCAGCGGAGGACCCCTTCCTTCCCCGCTTGTCCCAGGCAAGGAGTTGTGGGACCGCCTCCCCACATCCGACTCCTGCACCCCCTCTCCCCTGGAGCTGCATTTATTCTCTTCCCCAGAAGAGGAGCTGCTTCTCCCGATCCCTGGAGGCTCTCTATAATCCCTCTGGCTTTTGCTCTCTCCCTCCGGCACTGATGGCAGTTCCCTGGCACTTGCTAATTACCGTAATTGACTTTTATATTTCATTGTTGTACCAAGCTCTATCTGTGTGATACTGAACCCCACAGAAAAAGAACAATCTGGCTCCTTTACAAAATGGAAATGTTTCATTAGGTCAACAATTGACACTTTTAAATATTTAGGATGAGAAAACAATGACTGCCAAAATCTGAGTAACAACAAAGGATTTAAACATATTAGGGCCCTTCTGACGAGCTTTGCTTACGGAACAGAAATGAATATTAAAGGAAATACCTACACAACCAAGTCCATGGTGTAGAGATCCAATCTACAGCAGAAAAAGACACATACAAGTTCATGAAATTTCAGAGAAATACATATCATATCAAGCAAATACTTCATGGTCTTACTATCACTAAACTCCTATAAAAGCAAACATGCCTATAAATAATGATGGGCATTTATTTTCAAACCCCCTTTTGCACAGTTACGCTGTCACTAAGCAGGAATGAGCACAAGGAATGCTAATTTAATCCTAATGACTTTATTTAATAATCCAATTGCTTTCTCACAAAGCTTAAATTCTGCAGTGTATTTCTGCAGCTTTCAAAATTCCACTTTCCAGTCTATAAGGCAATGAAAGTTGTATAACTCTACCTCTTCATTTTGGAAAAGCCATTATCTGTAAGCATACAAAGATGCAATGAGTGTGCCCACTTTCCCATATAAACACAACAGCTGCCCCACAACTTTGGAATTCTGTTTCTTTGGACTCTTGCCATATTCCTAAGGTGCAATATGATTTCTTTACTGGCGCTGACTTTTGGTTGTTTGCATTAAGCTGGCACGCAGGGATAAAAAGATGTTGGAATATTTTCATGTTTAATATAGAGGAATAAAAACCTCTATGCTTTAGAGTGGGTGGGATATAAATACTTAGAAAACTAAAGAAACTATATAAAATAGATCCAGTAACTCAGGAGAGACACTTTCTGAGCAGTCATTTATGCCCCCAAAGCTGGATATGGCTCAGTAGGAAATGGTTCAGTGAATAGAGCATATACTTTTGCACATGTAACTCGCAAATGCAAAATATAACTTACCGGTTTCTTTCCTACTATGAGTTTTTCAACCTTTTGGACCTGTGACACATGATCCTCGTTTGTCTTGAGCTCCCGCTTTCGGATTCTTTCATAGATCCCAATAAGCATCTCCCGTGGAATATCTTCACCATCATCTACACCTGCAGAACCCAAACATCATTGTTACCAGCTCAAAAACTGCAATACCTCTACAACTTGATGATACTTCTGCCTTGTAAAGAATGTGATCTAGCTACTGGTTGTTACACTAACATCACTGATACTAAATCTTTGCATGTCATGATCAGTATCTCCGAAGAACCTGCCATTTAACAATTAAAGAAGTGAATTTCAATCAATGACATTTGGATATATAAATATCGCCCCTCATTCTTGTTTAGAATTCCAGGGTAGTATACAATCAATAAGAGCAATCATAAAACATCAGAAGAACGAAGAAAACAGTATTTAAAATATACATAAGATTAAAATGCCCAGATGACGAAAAAGGTGTTCTGGTGCAGAAAAGATTGCAACTGGTGCCAGAAGAACCTGCATAGGGAGAGCTTTCTATAAACACTTTGCTCTCATGTATTATATCTCTGATAATGGCATTTGAAGAGGGGCCTTGGCAGAAGATCTTAACAGACAAGTAGGTTAATATGGGAAGAGGCACTCTTTTGAGTATTTGGGTTCCAAGCCATTTACACTGAATTGGTCTCCAGTTATGCTCTTTTAAAATCTGTATGATATTTATTTACTTAAAAGATTTCTATCTCTATCTGCAAAATACACATTTGCCCTATTTTTAGTTATTGATACAACAGTAACCAAGAGTACTGTGGAGTATCAATACAATTAGGTAACAGATAGCAGTTTGTTAACACACACACACACACACACACACACACACACACACACACACTGTTAAATGTCCGAGCAATAATAAAACTCAGTGTTAGTTAAAAATATTGCAGTCTTGAAGCACCATTCGTGGAAGATAAAGCACATTCTCAACCTAGTTGCTTTAAAAACATTAATAAAGACTTTCTGCTGTGATATGCTTAGTGAATGAAGTTGGCCCATAGACCTGGAGAGGGATGGTTTGCAGTGCAGAAATACAAGAGGCAAATCAAAATTACAAGCACCCGCACATTGGTCTTTCAGCTATAAAACATTTCCTTTCTCTCCAGAACTTGAATCTCGGTTTCCTCAGCCTCCTCAGAGTTCTAAAACACTTTTGTAGGGTATAGTCACACAAACGTGTAATAGGGAACAGAATCTAATTACTGAATTCTTTTGCGGTTTTTGTGGTGTAGACCATAATGGCAAATGTCTATGCATGTTTACTCATAAGTAAGTCTTACTATGTTCAATGATTTACTTCCATGTAAGTGTGCATAGAATTGCAACTTATTGCTGCAGTTTTTACAACAATGTGCTTCCAAAGCCATGTGGCAGACTTTTCTACCTCTTTAGTATTTAAGAAACGATCTATTTAGAAACGGGTGCTGCCGCATTGTTAGTAATCAGACTGTTGTCCTTTCCCAAAAACCTTTTCCTATCTTCTCCTGGCCTGGTAACAAATCATAGTACAAATGGCAGACTAATAAAGAAAAATGGGGCTTTTGACATTTTCTGTTCAAGACTGGAGGAAATGAAACAAACCCAGCCTTTAGACCCTGGCAAATTTTTGAATTATGCATACCTCTTAGATTCTTGACAAAATCTTCAAGCTTCATTTTGCGTTCTGGTTTCACATTTGGACTATACATATCTGTGTTTAATAATATGATTGCAAAAGCTAGGATGAAGATGGTATCAGGATTTCTAAACTGTCTCACAACACCTGGATTGCAGATGCAGTATCTCTGGCTACAAAAGACACCGAAATAAGAGTGGTCAGATTCAAGGATGAGTCAATAAGCCTTTTAGAACAAACCAATAAACTGTTTCATTGAGGATACTGGAATTATACTCCTGACATACACATTTAATGCTTGAATATTAATTACCATTCCATCACATCATCTCAGCTAATAATAGTATCTTTAATGCAGATGATGTATTATTTTTTTTTTTTTTAAAATAATTTTATTGGGTTTTCACATTTTATATAGACAAAAACAAACCACATAACACGAAAACAAACATAAAAAAAAAAAAAACAACAGCACACATGAATAGTTCTCAGATGATGTATTATTATACCCACTCTTTGTAACCAAATTACTATTTGCTGATCTAGATATTCCGGTGGTTAAGGCTAGTCTAACTCCATTACAGTAAGTGCCCTCAGTTTCCTGCAATATTCACTTGTTGTATAGAAATATACATAAAATATACCTATACATATTTATCACTGCAGACTGCAAACCATACCTAGTGGATCAAAGAGGATAAAAATTACCCAGATTTGCACAATTCATCAGAAATAGGATAGTGGTGACAATTATACATTCTTTATTCATGGCAAAGTAAGGTACTGCAAGTGTAAAACAGCTTATATTTGTAGGGCAAAATATGCAATGGAAAGGCCAAATTTTCTTGGGTTGAACATCACAGTCCAAATGAAGTGCACCACTGACTCAGGTAAACATCTCCTCCTTCTAACCATGTAGATATAGCCAAAATATGCCAGCACAAAGTCAAACTATGCAACAATATCTGATGCAACTTTGATCCATAATTTATATCTATGCTAATATGCCATTTGTACACATTTCATGCCTAATGAGTCTGACCAATGGCTTCAACAGATCTGTGGCACCCTCTGAGGATAGGCCTCTTTATTTTTAGCATATTGGAAGATTCTTCACATTTCTCCCCATGTCCCCACCATGGATAAAGAACATTTGTCTTGGCTTTAATAAGTTAATGCTCTTTGCTCAGCTAAGCTAAACTGCTTAATTAAAAGGTCAGCAGAGTACATTGCAAAATGTTATAAAGGATAAATGCTTCCATTTCAACAAGATGAGAACATAGAATATTTACAGCACAATCCTTTACATGCCTACTCAGAAGTAAGTCCCACTGCGCTCAATAGGCCTTACACCGGGGTAAGTGGGTATAGGATTGTGACCTTAATTTCCTTTAAAATGTTTAAACCGACAGTAGACATTTCTTTGTTCACATTTAGACTTGATAACATAAGATACAACAAACAAAGCTGCCAGAATCTATAGCTGCCTTTTCCCAACCTATTGGCCTCTGGAGGTTTCTAAGTACATCTCTCATCAACTCCAGAAGGCTGGTCTACAATATATAATATCGTGAGAACAGAATTTTAGATCAAGGTAATATTTAACTACTTCAGCCTGAGTACACTCAAACCTACTACGTATGTGACTAAACCTTGTGATAGCTATCTGTTTACGTCCATACCTAAAAGCTTCTATGAGTCGTTCTACTTTTTGAGCTTCCCCTTGAACACGGATATGAGCTTGGAATTTCCTGAGTGCTTCATCTAGTTCCATAGCTGAGAAGTCCATTTCATCCACAACACAGCTAGGACAAAGAAGAAAAAGAGTTTTGATTTTGCCACCCTCCAGCATATCCCCAGCAATCCACCCTGCCTTCAGTAAAATACCAACTGCTGTACTTAGTAGAGTATTCAGTCAGATGAAGCATGCAATGATTAAAGGGCAAAGAGAGAATTATGAGCACTATATATCAATTAAAGAAGCTTATGTAAGCAGGTCATGATTTTTCAAAGACATCTCTCTGGCAGAAATAATAATCACTTTTATGTTCTTCAAAAAGCAATTTCCCCCAGTCAGTAGCTCCATTAGAAAACAACCAAACATTACTTTAATTTACTACTTTACTGAGCAGTAGGGCACGGAGCAACAGACACCAGTCCTCTCCTTGCCTATCCTATGAACGTTGGAAGGGAGGGTGGCAGCAAGAAGACCCTATGTTCTTTTACTTTCCTTCCTGCATGTCTTTGAGTGGATAGCAAAAGGGGAAAGCAATATACTTTCCCTTCTCTGACAGAAGGGGTACCAGTTACCACACACCGTTTCCCCCCTTAAAGTGTTGTGCATAATAACACCCCAGTACTCTTTTCAATAACTGGAAGGGAAAAGAGAGAGGAATTGTGTAGCAGACAGTGTAGAGGGGAGAGCAGAGAGGGAGAAAAGGCACTCAGGTGGACAGGGCTGATTTAAAAGGCTGATGCAAAACCATGATTTGTGAAACCATGATCTAATTGCCTTTTCTGCTGCCTGTGAGGTCTACTTGCCAATAAAATAAAATAGAATCTGGAGGTTTCTTTCCTTTTTATTCGGCTTTTGAGGTTATACACAATGAAAGATCAATCTCTGCAAAGTACAATAGACTAATGCAGGTGCCACGGTAAGAACGTATGACCCATGCTAAAAGGCTTTTTATTAAAATGCATTGCCATATGGCATCAGGGTAAAAATGTTTATGATTGTTCAAATGAGAGAGGGGCAGAACCAGGCAATTAAAATGCAGAGGGACAGGTATCAATTCAAAGAGGATACTTTGGATAAAACATATGTGCCAGAGACATTCGCAAAGGCACACCATGCACAAGAGTTTAAAAGCTAATACTGGAAGCCACTGATTCAAGTTGTGTGAGCTGTTGTACTTTGTTTTAAATGATAGCATAGATACAAAGAGCATAATGGAAACCTGCTGGGATGGAGAGAACCAGTGGGCATTGGTTATTTCTGGATACAAACTCTACAGAAAGGACCGGGAAGGGTGTGTTGGAGGTGGCATCACTCTGTACATCAAAGAGGCATACAGTCCCAAAAGCTAGAAATCTCAAAAGGGCAGAGTCTTCCACAAAATTACTGTGGATGGCAGTACCAGGTCCCCAAGAGTAGCTTACTACTGAGCATATAGTATCATCCTCCTGACCAAAACGCCCAGGGTGATTCTGAGATGGACAATGAAATTTTCCTCATAATCTAATTAGCTATGTCACATATCCATAAAACAGCAAACGGTCAACAAATAAAGCCAGGTCTTTTTAGTACCTTGGTTAGCTGTATAATGCAGGAAAACTTGACATATTTCATAAGCCGATGCAACACAGAAATAAATGCCATCTTGGTACCTGACACAAGCTAACATGGGAAGCTTCTGCACTCCTAAGGTTGCTTGTTTTAACTGAACATTGCAATTGCGTATTTAATTCCTTTGGCTGCATTCCAGTGCTCAGTTAAGTGCACTCAAAACCTCATTGAATGGCCTTTAAAACATAATAACAGGCAAACAAAAAAGATCCAATGTTTAATTTATAAGATTTTAGTCAATGAAGCAAACATGAAGAGGAGGTCATCAGGGTTAAATTTCCTAGCCTATTTGTAGATCATATGTTTTGGCATTGTGTCAAATAGGCATCAATAACATTTTCACGTGGTGCAACTCCCAGGACAAAAGCCTCTCTTTAACAGAGTTAGGCAAGATGCCAACATAACGTTCTCATCTACAGGACTGTTTTTAGAAAACATCACTTTGGAATTTAAAATCTGTGTTGATTTTTCAAGGAAGACCCATGAGCTGGCAGATTTCTGCCCCCCTCCCCGCCCCCTAGAAGAAGGCCCTGCTTCACTGTTCCTTTGTAGTAAGGAAATATATAGAACAAGTGGGTCCAGGAATAAGACAACCCACTTGCCAAGTGTAGAATGCTTCATTAAAGCATATTTATATGAGTGCATTCTGCTGATTAAGGTGTACCACTAATCAATAGGAACCTTAGCATTCAACAGCAATTCTTCATCAAAGTAATGTATACATAATTCTATAAATTTGGGCCAATATATCATGAGCTGGCATGCAGTACGCAGTACAGCACATCAAAACTGAAAATATTGTGACACTTGCTTTCTGGATGATAGTAGTCTTCCACATTTTGTCATGTCATTTTATTTTAGACAATGAATTGAGTAATACTTCAAGGAATAATAAAGGACTTATAATCAATAGACACTTTCCTTCTGGATGAGCATATCCTAGACAATTAAAATAATAATAGATTATAGTATAGCAGATAAATAGTTAAGAACCTCCTTCTGGAACAGTCTTTCTGAATTGCGGGCATAGCTGTAAATGTATATGGGGAAATGATTTTTTCCTGGTTTTTCTTTTTCTCTGAAACTGCACTTAGCTTATACACAAAACAATTGGCGAACATCCCTTTCTTTAAAATCCACATAGCGTACACTTAAATATGCAACAGATGCTTCATATCTGCTACTTACTCCAACACATCCCGGTTAAACTGCTTTTGTCGATTTCCGAGGAATTCTCCAATCATCTGTCTGCTGAGTCCTTTTCTCTGCAGAAGGAAATGAGCAACTCCAACAGGCGTATCTGGCACAAAGCCTCTCTCAATTAGGTACTGGATTCCTTTTTCAGGTTTTCTACAAGAAGAAAAAAACCCCAAATCTCCCATTAGCCACTTTCACCACAACATAATCAGGGGCATATGTATTTTTATTGTGTGCGTGCGTGTATAATATTTGTTGCTGTATACCACTTAGATTTCTTTAAGGAAATTGTGCTATATAAATATTTTCATAAATAAATTTAAAATAAATAAAATAAAGATTGGGGTTGTCTTGGGGCTCTTCCACAATCAACACAAGTATCTTTTAATTTCTAAGGCAGAGGTATACCGTCGTACTTCGGAAGTCAAATGCCTAGCGAGTTAAACCTTTTGGCTCCCGAATGCCGCAAACCCGGAAGTGAGTGTTCAGGTTTGCGAACGTTCTTTGGAACCCAAATGTCTGACACAGCTTCCGTGGCTTCCGATTGGCTGCAGGAGCATCCTGCAGCCAATCGGAAACCGCGTCTTGGTTTCCGAATGTTTTGGAAGTCGAACGGACTTCTGGAACAGATTCTATTCGACTTCAGAGATATAACTGTACAACTTAAATCATTTGAGGACCAATTTTACTGTTATTACCAGTGGGGAGTAACAATACCGCAGCAGCTATGAAAAAGTATGTGACCACATCTTTAACATAGTGCTTTTTAAAACCTACATTTATTTCTGCAACTCTTAGCAGACTCACAGTTCTTGCTTTGCACAGACCCTTCTCTCAACAGCACCCCCTCCCACCCCATGTGAGAAGCACTGATGAACAATACCAAGTAACCCTCTGGTCCTGCTTCTACCACAAACAGTATGCTGTTTAAAACTGTATTAAACAGATGCTCCTGGAAAGCAGACAAGCTGTGGCATGGAGTCAGTAGCCCTTCCTTGTTTTTCCCAGCATCTGGAGGGGATATAGCCTTTAAATTCTAAGATCCCATTTAGCTACTGTGGTGGACGGCTTTTTTTTTTTAATATAACATTGTTTTTTTAAAAAAATATATATTTTCATATTTAAACATAGTTGCATCAAGATATATCTTTGTTTACAATGCAGCACATGCCATGCAGCAATTGCATAAAATAAAAATAAAAAATAAAACAACAATGAACACTCAGATAAACGTTTCTACATATATTAACAAAGTTGTGTCAAAGTGTATATACCAAAATTATTATGATTATCACAGAAATGATGTATAGTAATGTGTATTGCTCTGACTGGTGACCATAAATAAAATGTATTTTGTATCAATAACAATTAGAATTTATAGGAAAGGAGGGGAGGGGGAAAATTAAAAATCACACTTCATGCACGCCAGACTGTGCTTTAAACTATGGGTACTGTTCTTCCATGTGTTGAACAGCTATTGCTTGATACATCACCCATTATTTTTTCTACTCCTTTTCAATAGTCAGCACCACTCCTTATAGTACTGAATTCAGTAACTCAATTGTTTGCTTTTGTTTGCAAGGGAGCATCATGGGGTGAGGAAGAGGGAGGTAATCTGGGGATGGGGTAGGATCCAGCTCCTCCTTATAGCACTCCTGCCACTTTACTCCCTATCACATTACTCCCTAATTTGGATAGGGCCTAGTTTGGCACTGAGCTATGCTATGCTATCCAACCAGAAATCTGTAGTTTGATACATCCCTCCAAATCAGCATTGAAAAAGAAATAAAAACCTGTGGTTTGCAATCTTGATTTGGGCTAATCACTCAAACCATAGTGTACAAGTCCTGACATCACAGCAAACTGAGGTTTCTGAAACAAGTTGGTATTTTATTAAGCCAGGAGTGTGAGGGAAGGATTGAAAAGTAGAGAGAGGGAGAATGTACATAAAGAGCTTCCCCCCAATCCTCCAAACCATGCTTTGAACAAGCAATATGGTATCTGAATGCACTGAATGCTAAATGCAAGACTGAGACTGAAGTAGTCAAGGCAGACAGAGATTATGCATTCATCTGCTGCTATGTAAACATCAAAAGGTTTGTGTACTGCAACAGTGACCAACCACAATTCAATATTTTCATTGTGTTCTCCATTTTCTAAGGTATTACAAATATCTGAAAATGCAAATGGATTTCCAACTTTGCAGATGGAGGATGCAGCTTTCTGCTCAGACATGTGAAATCAATTTCCAAGAACAAGGTGACCCTGCTATTTTTATACCAAGATGGTCATGTAACCACATCTTTCCTCATGTAGGTTATTGTCAATAACATTACCAAATCTCCTAACATGCTTACTCTGCTGGACTTTACTAGTAAAAATTTGTTATCTGGTAAGTAAAAGAAACAATCAGACTTTTACCCTCATAGCTGAGTACCATAGAAAAACTGCCTCATCATCATGTCTTAAAATCTGCCTGCCTGAAAGTTTACATCTGAGACAAAAAGAATATGTGCTGTTATTCCCACAAGGGAAGCTAAGATAATATTTCCTTTATTCAAAATATTTCTTTCGTCTGAGCAAACAGAAGAAACTAAAGCTACAATCCTAAACACACATACTATTGAGTATGCTACATTGAGGTCAGTGGGAGTCACTTCAAGTAAACATGCTTAGGATTCTGAATCAGAATTCTTTTCTCCATCTGAACTCATTGGTTCTGTACAAAATGGAACAAGGTGAGATCTATACATTACAACAAGCTTTGTTCCTTTGGCTGAATAAAGTTGTACAACTTGCTTGTACAGTACATATCAATCTTTTCTTTTGGGAACACACCATAATATTCTTTCAGGTTTTGAGGCAACTGAACCTAGTAGTCAAAAATATGCAAGACAATGCTTTACCAATACCATTCATGTCCTGAAGTACTGTATTTTAATTATTCTCTAGAAAGAAAGATTAATGGTTCTGAAGAAGGCTGTTTTAAAGCTGGACTTTCGGGAAAGTAATAGATGGTCAAATGGAAAGAAGGCAAAAGGCAAATATCAAATTCGAAAAGGGGATTTTTATTTGTGCTATTTTTAGTCGTTCAAAGATGACTGGGCATAATGAACATATAAAAATGTGTTTTTGCAGAATATCATTACAGTAATGCAAAGGGACGCTGGTGGCGCTGTGGGTAAAAGCCTCAGCGCCTAGGGCTTGCCGATCGAAAGGTCGGCGGTTCGAATCCCCGCGGCGGGGTGTGCTCCCGTTGCTCGGTCCCAGCGCCTGCCAACCTAGCAGTTCGAAAGCACCCCTAGGTGCAAGTAGATAAATAGGGACCGCTTACTGGCGGGAAGGTAAACGGCGTTTCCGTGTGCTGCGCTGGCTCGCCAGATGCAGCTTTGTCACGCTGGCCACGTGACCCAGAAGTGTCTCCGGACAGCGCTGGCCCCTGGCCTCTTAAGTGAGATGGGCGCACAACCCTAGAGTCTGTCAAGACTGGCCCGTACGGGCAGGGGTACCTTTACCTTTTAATGCAAAGGAATGGAGAATATGTTATGCTGTAGAATTATTTCCATGTGGAAAATGCTACAGAAAACACACACCATAACCTGGATTGTTGACCTGGCCAGTAATGTATTTGCTCATGTAACTGAAGATAGGACTGCAGCCATGTGAGCCAATGTAGAAAAGTGGTTAAGAGTGCTGGCCAGGGTTCAAATTGCCACTCACTGATTTTGTAAGGATAAAATGGGGAAAGGGAGAAGTATGTGTGCTGCCTTGAGCTACTTGGAGAAAAGGAGCAATCTAAAAGTAATAATAAATAAAATAAAATAAAAATAACGAAGGCAAAAGGGTTGTACATTTTTAAAGTGAGTGTCTTCTGCACAGGTTCACACACTTTAAAGTAGTATGTGAGAGGTTTCAAAATTCTATGCTGTTCCTGCATGCCTTTTTCACTGGGTGCCAGTTCTGATTCCAGTGTTATTCTAAACGTGCTAGTTTTTCTATGGACAGAGGGGGTAAATACGGACAACCATTTATTGATTGATAGTCTGCTAATATATGCAGAGAGCCACTTGGTGAGACACTAACCCATATTGTGTTGCAGATGAGTAACAAGAGCCATTTACAGTATGTATCTGAGCCAATATCTAGGAAAGCAGAGAAATCAAATGGCAGGAAAATATAGAAGACTAGCTAAAGTAGTAGTTCCATGCACACTGTAGCTAGTTACTACGTACTTGAATTAAGGGCAGTTTATATTTACTTGGCCGCTCCATTCTTTGGTAGAAGTAATTCAAGAGCAGAAAAGCATGTAAACCTCTTTGTTCAGATTTAAAACTTATTTTCAGTTTTTCCCACTTCAGTTTCTTAAGCTTAATTGTATAGCTTAGTTCTTAATACTTGGGTTCTAAAACAAGGTGGTACTTTCTGTCAGTTTCCTAACCTTCTATTAATCACACCCCTGAGGCTCCTCTAGCAGTATAATAGACCCAGGGGATCACCAAACGCCTCCTAATTGGTTTGGGATTCTTCTCTTTCTCAAGACGTTCTATCCCTTTCTTACTGAACGGAGACCCAAGTAGAGTGTTCACTAATAACTCTACTTCTCCTGTTCCCAATTCAGATTCCCAGTTTTTCTCTTGTCTGTATACTCCTGAAAAAGGACACTAATTGCTGTATTTCAAACTAAGCTCAGAGACTTCCTTCTCTGGCTGCAGATATTTTCCTCAGAGCGGATCTCTCACACACAGCTCAGGAGCTATACTTCTACCCAGCTGAACACCAAGAACACCCAACTCCCAATCCCCTTTTTTTTCCCCCCTCCCAAAGTGCTTGCTGTATCTACAGCCAATCAGGTGAACCTACAGCTCAGCACTCTGGTGGAATTCCAAAGCACTGCATCACAAAACTCTGGTCTTGCTGAGCTTTCCGTCACACCCCTGCACTTGTTACATGGCAATACTGTAGTTGTGGCTGGCTGGGAAGCAACGATTCTCAATTTCCAACAATGTCCCTGACACTATGGCTGGGTTCAGATGGCAACCAAGCCAAACTATGCCTCATGCTCACTGCAAGCTAAATTACCAGCAAGAAAGCAAAACAGCCACAATCACTTCGCCAGGAGCCTGCATGAGCACACTAAGCCAGTGCTACTTGTGTGACATTGTTAATGTAAGCTCCCCAGACCCAGCTGCCTGGCAATGCGACTCCAGCAGCTGTCTGGGTGGGCCAGATCCTGGCACCAGACCTGTCTACAAGGTATAGACTTTGTTGTCCATTAGGAGATTATCAAAGACCCACAGAAGGTCTTTATTAGGACAGTTTAAAATGTCACAAGTAGCAAGCAAGTTTTTGAATTCTCCAGAACCCTTCTACAGGCTAGAAATTAAACAAAACAGCAGGGAGGGAGGAGATAAGAAAAGCCCCAAAGCCTTTGGTTTGTAATAGTCTTAAAATGGAGTGCAGAAGGTGTGTTGGCATGTGCTGCTAGGTGAATAACTATTTCCAGTTGTGCAGAGAAACCCTGGGACAAAGAAACAATAAGGACAGCCCCACTCCAATTTTTTCAACAGGCATTAGGATAAGGTTACCAGATCTTTTTCAATGAATCCAGGGACACTTTTCAACTTCAATGGATTTTGTCGAAACGGGGACGTCTGGTAACCTTACATTAGGACTGACTGCCAGAAACTAGGGAGGCTACAGCAATCTGATGCATGATGGAGAACTACTTGTGGAAATCAACTGCTTACCCAAATACCATTTTTTAATATAGTGTTGCTTGCCCCCCCCATTTCTGATACTTCCGTTCTTTAGCCCTATTGTCCCAAATCCTCACATGCTGCAGTCCCTCTCTTCCCTCTTGCAATGCATTCACTACTAATAAATTTTCATTCCCTAAATAGCTGAAAAGGCAGCTGCCTCTGCTTTTCACTTGGATAATCTAACCAGCCTGAATTCCAGGGAACAGTAAATGAACTGGCAAATCCTGACCTCCATAATTACAATCAGACATATGCTTGGCCTTCCCTTTTTATAGTGGGCACTTCGCAACAAAATTATATCCCCATCAGCTCTCTAGGTATTGTGGAAAGAGAATTCTGCTTAATCCTAGCACCGAGCTCTGTTATAGCAAATTGTGTGCTTGGAATGTTTAATACTAGATGGACATGATTGGATGGGAGTGATGTAATGACTCCATTCCAGTTTCTGAGGCTATTCAAAGCTGCTAATAATGGACTCCATAGCCTTCAAAAGGCTGGATTTTCAATATTAGGGAAGGTTTATATATTCTCTGTAAATGACTATAAAGGATCCCCTCCCTACATTTTTGAACGCAGCCAACCCCTCCCTACATTTTTGAACGCAACTGATTCATGCTATGAGCCTTTTCCTCTCTATGCATATTACTGGGTATTTATTTAAAAGAGAAAAGTCATAAGAAGTCTTTTTGTTGCTATTACGGAGTAATCTACACTCCAGGTGTTGTAAAGACACTCTTTTATACTAAACTCCCAATAGGCTGGCATTCGCTTTCATGAAGACCTTTAACAGACATTTCTCATATTTAATAGAATCGCAGGATTGTAGAGTGAGATGGTACTCCTAGGGTCATCTAGTCCAACCCCCTGAGTCCTGTGTCCAATTTGAAACATTTGCTTAGCTTTGCAAATGTGATAGCAGTTGTATTGCAGTAGCACTATGAGATAACTTGTAAAAAGGTTGGAAGCAAAATGGGCTGTAGCATGCTTAGATGCAACTTTACACCAAGAGTTTGCAAAGCTTGTTAAAATACACCTGTAAGGTGCATCTTTCTTTGGAAGCAGTCCTACTTGCATATAAGGTGCATGAGATTATAGTGTTTTTTGGCTGAGTCCTCACTATGGTTCTCTTCACAGCTGATTTTTGGAAGAAGAAGAAATTTCTGCAAATGTGATGCAAAAGTTGGCTGTGCATGATGCCGGAATGTCACTCTGCCCATGTCATCAAGAAACCTCCTACACACAAGAAACTGCTTCCTGGAGCAGATTTGCTCTTTAAAATAGTGTTTCCTTCAAATAAATGAACAGGGAATGAATAAACAAATAAATTCATCAGCATTCATCTGCTACTTTTAACAAATAAATATTTAGAAGGCAGCCAGTTCATGTCACAAATGGGTAAAGAAAAGAGCTACCATTAAATCCACAAGTTCATTTTGTCTGTACGTTTCATTTTTCAGTTTATTTATTTATTCTTGTATGTTATTGAAGTGTCCTTTCTAAAATAAGTAAGTAAGTAAATAAGTAAATAAATAAACAAAGAAACTAACTAACTCACAAGTTGAGGGACAACCCGTGAACTCTCTCCCTGTATCTGTCTGTATTAGTAACTCAGGTTTTTTTAAAAAAGGTAACTTTTATTTATTTGAAATTATTCACACTCCAGTCTTCCGCTCTAATGAAACCAGAGCAACTTACAATAAACAGTAAAACAATATAAAAAGTAAGCAAGTGACAGAAAACAATAAAACCTGCAGCTGCCCAAATCATACAGGCAACCCCCCCCATTTAAACGTGGGGGTTACATTCCTAGTCAGTGAAATCATGTATATTTGAAGCCCACTGAAAAAGCCTGCAAATACCCTGTTCAGTCCCGCCCTTTTAGTGATGTTTCAGTAAAATCTTTATGATGTTTCCAGGTCACTTCTGGGTTCAACGCGATGTGCATATACACAGTAACACACATATTGAATGCATGTAAACTTGGCGGGGGGGGGGGGGCTGTCTGTATACCAAAAGGCACCAGGTATGGAACCTATGAGGTCAGAGGTGGAAGGGGGCTTGCAATCTATGCTTGTGCTCAGCAGCGCTTTGACTGTCATCTTAAAACAAACAAACACAGCAGGCAATGGGGAAATTGCATTTGGCCTTTAGCCAAAAACTATTTGATCTTCTAATTATGTCAAATCGCTTACAGGCCAATGCAACAAAAAATTATTTTATACCCCTCATCCGTTGTAAAACCTTACATCACACATTACCTAATTTAATGGTTCACTGCATGTTCACATGACTGGGAATAAGACGACCTGCACATGGCTATGCTTTCTCAGTGTTCCTTCTTAAAAATGCTTCACAGTAACAGAGGTAGGAACTGTGCGATGCTCAAGCTGTCTGATGTGATTCACAACACTAAGCAAACTGCATGTACGTAACTCATAAAGTCCTTTATTCCTGGAATATGGATGATTCAACATGTGTCTGAAGAACGCGGAAACCAACTAGACAAGAAAGCTGAACTGGAAAAAGCGAACAACTAACAAAACTCATACAGCAAGCCAAAATAAGATTATTGTGCAATGTTTCTAGTCTGTGTAGCACTCCTAGTCTGGCTTTTTGAAATCTACCACATCATCAAGAAAAAGCAGGCATTTATTCTGCATTGACACCAATCAGTATAGCGAAACCATTTAAAACATCTTATGATCTCTCCCACATGGAATATTGTATTGGGATTAGTTTTTCAGTAACAGCCTCAGAGTACTTTGAAAAGTAAAAAATGACAGGAGGCACCTGATAATTCTATGGAGCGATAATCCTCACAGTTCTTGTGAGACCTCAAAAGGGGTGTGCCTGCATCACAACAAGAAGCATCAGCAGCTAACAACACAGATCAATAAGCTAACTGAAGGGGAAAGAGAGGAATCCTTGGTATCAGGTTTGTCCAAACCAGCATCATAGTATTTCAAAGTTAAACCAAACTGAATGGTTTAAAAGCATTAAAACTTTAAAAAAATCTTTCCAAACCACATTTTCTTTTTGGCCTTAATTAAAACATTATTTCTCCTTCATGGATCACTGCCTTGTCGTGCCAAAGGGGCTTGAATAACTCAGAGAAGCTATGAGCTATGCCGTGCAGAGTCCCATGGACAGCAAGAAGATCAAACCTATCCATTCTAAAGGAAATCAGCCCTGCGTGCTCACTGGAAGGACAGATCCTGAAACTGAGGCTCCAATACTTTTGCCGCCTCATGAGAAGAGAAGACTCCCTGGAAAAGACCCTGATGTTGGGAAAGATGGAGGGCACAAGGAGAAGGGGACGACAGAGGACGAGATGGTTGGACAGTGTTCTTGAAGCATGAGTTTGACCAAACTGCAGGAGGCAGTGGAAGACAGGAGTGCTTGGTGTGATCTGGTCCATGGGGTCATGAAGAGTCAGACACGACTAAACAACAAAGACAAGGAGCAGATTAAACACACATTTAAATCACAAGGCTGCCTAAATAACCTTGGAACTGTAGTTTCACCCTTAACGAACGACAGGATCCAGGATTCTTTGCGGAAAACCATGCACTTTAAAGGCACAGTACTTATATGATGTGGCTTTTTTGTTCATCTCTTTAATGGGAAGAGCCAGTGCAGTAAAGTGTTTAGAGAGGTCAGACTAGGAATTCAGCCAATCATTCTCCTCAACCTTATTTACCTTAGAGGGTTGTTGACTGGATAAAATGGGAAGAGGAAAACAATATATACCATCTCGAATTCCTTGGAGTTAAGGTGGAATATAAATATATTAAGAAAGATAAATAAGAGTGAAATTATTAAAGATTTTAAATATTTAAAATGCCACAGCTGGGTTACTTCCTAAATAAAATTGACAGTGTACCTAGGTAAAAATAATGATTCTTTCAAGGTTTTGTTTAAACCATGCGCAGCAAACTATGTCATATCTAGGTAGGATATAACAAATTGTCTGCCTTAAAAAAAGTATTGAGCTGCTTCTCATATTTTTGCATTACACAAGCAAGCCTCAGCTCATACATGCCAGCCTTTCTACGAATGCTTCAATTCTCTGTCTGACTTCAGGTTTCAAGCAAACCATAATTTGCCATTACAACCAAACAATTTTTTTTTTTTTATATAATATTTTTTATTGCTTTTTTTCCAAGGTCAAGATGCATCATCAATAACACAACAAAAGCGGTTTTACAGAAAAAAATAAGAGATTGTATACAAGAAAATTCATTTTTTCAAATCTTTTTTCATAATCAACTGGACTTCCCCAGATCTTTCGTCCCTGCTTTCTTTACAATAAAAATAAACAGCAAATTGCAACCTTGTTTCATATGTTTTTGTACTTTCTTCTAATTATATATTCTAAAATTTAAAGCTTTCACAGTCATAACTTAGTTTCCATCATTCTCAAATCTCAATACTGAAGCATGTTCTTCCCAAAAACTTAGCAAATTCTCAACATTCATATAACTTATAGTGTTTTTGTAGATAGTCCTTAAATTTTTTCCAGTCCTCTTCCACTGCCTCTTCTCCCAGGTCTCGGATTCTGCCAGTCATTTCAGCTAATTCCATGTAGTCCATCAGTTGCGTATGCCACTCTTCCAGCGTGGGTAACTCCTGTGCCTTCCAATATTTGGCTATAAGGATTCTTGCTGCTGTCGTTGCATATAAAAAGAAAGTTCTATCTTTCTTTGGTACTCTCTGGCCCACAATGCCCAGGAGGAAGGCCTCTGGTTTCTTATGAAAGGTATACTTATAGGTGATGTGGGAGAAATCAATTTGACTGAATTTGTTCAGCTGCGTCAGTTCAAAAACCACTTGTGACAAAAATGTGGCCTCCTTTAGGATGAATGCTTTCTGCTGTAGCCCTACGACCAGAGTATTGCTGTGTTCAGGGCATTTGCCACAGAGGAGATTACATTTAGAATATGCAACTGGTCACTGGCATTTCTAAGTCATAACCATTCCAAGAGGGCTTTATAAAATGAGATCTTCCTGGAATGTGTTGATCAGATCTGCAGCCCCATTGGTTTTATATTTCGTATTTTACCGGACTGAAAACAATGGCAAAAAGCAGAAGTAAAAAAGAACTTGGTTGAAATGTTATTTTATCCGCATTTAGCAAATAAATTAATTCTGTGACAGTCGTGGCCTAATCTTAAATTGAAGGTTTATCTCCCCCACCCCACCCCCGCAAAAAAAATGCTATTTGGTTTATTTAGTACGTGCTGAGTATTGTGCATTTTCTATCTATATGAACTAGCTGTTCTTGCCTTAGGCTGTGTGCCAATGGTACCAGTAGGCACCACAAACCAGCCCTGCTAGCAAAAGAAAGTGTTGCACCTCTGGCAGTGACTACAATGTCTCCTACCCATTTTATTTACTTTTTCACAGGCTGCTACTGCCTGTGGAGAAAGACGCTTCAAGCAGTTGGGCTACCAGGTTCATTTCCCAGAGTGCTGTGCTCTGGGCTCATGGTGAAAAGAAAAACAAATCAATTGATGGATGGAGAGCAGAAAACAGCACAAATCAACTGAGTTGGAATTTGTCTGCTTCTGTGCATCTGTGATTGGGGGGGTGGGACCTGCCATTGTCCAGTTGTAGCCTTGTTTCTAACTTTCCCATGCAAATTCAGTTTTCTGCATTTTTCTGCATCCATTTGTGATTTCTTTTAAATAATAATTAAAAATCCTCATGCAAATTCATCAGCATTGTTAGTGCAAAATTTTCCGTGTGAACACAAAATTTGATGCAGTTGAAGTAATGCACACATTTTTGCAAGCAGTTTCTTCTAACTTAATGCTTTTTGTGTGCTCTTTCCCAAATATATGCCATTTTTATGTGCACTTTAATATACACACCTTTTTTTGGCTAACTAACTGCTTCGGCAAAGTTCAGATAAGTGTGAATTGTGAACGACGGGTGTGTGTTAGCTCTCATATTGTTTCGGGAAGTTCAAATTCAACTAGATTTGCCTTTAAGCATGAGAGGAATTGCATTTCTCCCCATCCCATGCCTGTGGGGATGTGGTGTGCATGTCAGTGTGTATGTGAGAGAGTGTGGGATAGCCACATCCATTGTTCCACATCCCCCCCGAGGCTTTGGTCCAGGGTGAATCTTTCCCTTGGGTCATAATGGGTTAACTGCCATGATTGAGAGCTACTTCACTGCACAGAGCAGCACCCTCTGCTGTGAGAAGAAAGCGGGAGATGAAGGCTGTTGCAG